CCCTAACCCACCAACTCCACTGACTGTGACTGAGCAGAGAACGGCAGGACAGTCAGGGAAACAGTCAGCAAAGGCAGCACCCTTTCTGGTTTTATGTGATGAGATGTTCCCCTTTTCAATGGTTCAGCCCTAGCAGAGGAAGGGATTGCTATTCCGGGGAGGGATGCGAACAAACGCTAAAAAGTCCTAGGGACCGGGAAGGCTCTGTGGTAAGTATCAAGACCTGGGTCCCTCATGAGAACCTGAAGAACATGAGAGCAGATTGCTGTGACTCGTCAAAGTAATATCCAGATCTTACCGATCTCCCCCAGCCACCAATGGCATAACATTTCAGAAGGTGCCAGGGCGATCACTGACCAGGGAAGATCAACTTACCATGGAACTTTGAATGGAGACTTGGGTAGATCGATAGAGTCTATAAGGTTATTTACAAATAAAAACTGCAACCTGCATTTCACAAGCAACTTATGAGCAGGTAAAGTTTGTAATGGTGCAGTAGGGTGGAGGCTTGGTGGTGAGCTGTGAAGCATAAGCGAGGAATCGCATACGTCGAATCGAGTCGTGGTGGTTCAGTGGTCGACGTTCGACGACTCGATTCGACGTATGCGATTCCTCGCTTATGCTTCACAGCTCACCACCAAGCCTCCACCCTACTGCACCATTACAAACTTTACCTGCTCATAAGTTGCTTGTGAAATGCAGGTTGCAGTTTTGCTATCTATACCATTTTCACTTTAAATTCACCACTTTTCAAACCAAATTCACCACTTTTCAAAGCAAATTCACCACTTTTCAAAGCAAATTCACCACTTTTCAAAGCAAATTCACCACTTTTCAAAGCAAATTCACCACTTTTCAAACCAAATTCACCACTCTTTTAGACCGGGCAGTTCACCAACCAGATCACGCCAGACACCACTGCGAACCCTGCCTCGACGCCTACTTGTCAGCGCGGACATAGATTTTCAACACATGGCCGACTCCGCCCAGTCTTTAAAGGGTTTGTTGCGAACTTCGAAATTTCATAACTTTTTCAACTTTTCAACTTTTTAATTTCACATCCACTCTTTGCACAGCGAAGATACTCGTAACCGCGCATTCATGCTCCGGCAATTCGGGCTCCGCCCCCCTTGGCCACTCACAGTCAGCCCCCCCCCTGCTCACCAGAAAGGGTGCTGCCTTTGCTGACTGTTTCCCTGACTGTCCTGCCGTTCTCTGCTCAATCACAGTCAGTGGAGTTGGTGATTAGGGCATTTTTTCGGCGAACCACGTGCTATTGTACATTCGTGCTTTACAACACTTCACAGGTTCTCATAGGAGGAAGGGGCCCACTTGCTTTTCGCGGAATTTTGATATTTTTTCAAAATTTTTGCATTTTTGGACTGCCCCGTGAAGCCCCGCCCACTGTGAGAGGCTCCGCCCACTTTGAAGAAGCCCCGCCCACTTTTCAAAAATGGTGCAAATCGGCATAGAGCCTTGGCTTGCATGCTAGGGTCTCGTGCGTCACTCGGAACAAACTTTGCCTGATGATTTGTTCCGAGTGACGGACGAGGTCCCTAGCATGCAAGCCAAGGCTCTATACTGCC